AGTCAACAGTCAACGGAAGTCAAAGTCAACAAGTCAAACTTCAGGTTGAGTACGCCCAACATACTCAACTCGTACGCATGGCGTACTTACCAACCAGAATTGGGACCCCATACGAGTACGTGCCACATACTCGAAGGTATGCCCGACGTACCCGGCTAAATGGCATTTTCCATTAAGTCCTTAATCTCTTAAGTCCTTTCATCTGACACTCAGATCTAGTCCTACAACATCACTCTAAGTCATAAAGTTTCCACCTTTATGACTTTTCATGAGTAGAAAAGGTCCATAAGCTAAAACCTTAACTTATCAATCCATTAAGATATCATGACACTCTCATGGAAGGTATAACAGGATCAAGATTACATTTTTATGGATCCTAAAAGCTCCATAATGGATAAAGTTTCCAACTTTATCCATTCAAATGGTCCAAACCACCAAGATCTAGCCTTTAAGCATCAAATGGGAACAAAAGTGCATATTTTTCAACTTAATCCATTAAGTGCAAGTCTCCAACCTTCATATCTGAATCACAATGATGTTTAGATGGATAAAGTTTCCAAATTTATCCATAACAAGGCTACAAACTTTCAAGATCTAAACTTTATACACTAAAATGACCAAAGGGTCATAACATCCAAAACTAGATAGATCTAACAAATGCATCAAAAAGATTCAAACTTTATACCTCTAGAAAATAGATCAAAGTGGATAAAATCCAGATCTACAAGCTCCAATGTAACCAACACTTCTTCAAGAAGTTCCTTCTTCTCCAAGGTGCACCATGCATACTCCAAAGCACTCAAAATCACCTTCTTTTAGCTCAAAAGGCTCATCTAAGGTAAGGGTTTCATGAAAGGGGTGTTGGAGGGGTGGAGGTTGAGAATGGAGTGTGTTTGGGGGAGTTAAGGAGTTTAAATAGGGCTTAAACCACAAAAATAGGGTTTGGGCACTGATTGCATATCCCAACGTACTCCTGGTATGCCCAACGTACTCAAGATTCCATTAGTACGCCCATCGTACACCTTTTTGTACGCCCATCGTACTCAGCTTGGCCTAAAACCACCTTAACTTCAAACGGTCATAACTTCTTCGTTCTAACTCCTTTTTCGACGTTCTTTATATCCACAGAAAGGTATTGAGGAGCTCTATAACCCTATCTAATTACTTTTAACTTAAAACACATCAAAATAATATCCATAATTCATAAAAGAAGTCTAAAACACTACATTCTCAATTTACCCTTTGACTCCAAAGTGCAAACCAAACTATTGTGTCACATATCTACATTACCCACATCCAAATAGGCCTAAATCTTACCTTTTTAAAGGTCATAATCCTTATGATGACCGCTCTTCGTGCCACAACGTCGAATTAGGAATTGATTTGGAACAGGGTGTTACACCTCCTGTGGAGACTCTTAACAAAATCAATCCAATTGCTAAACTTAACTTCCATTTAAACTATTTCAGTCCCTCCCTTGAATTATTTTAACCAAAGCAGTCCTACTTTTGTTACTAAAATTACCAAATTTCCCCAATAGTTTAAATTCATTACAAAATGGTCCCAAGAGTATTTTAAAGTTCAAGAATTGTGGATTTGTTGTTTCACACGACACGTTTCTCAAAAGAAACCGAATTCGAACAAATGAAAACTCATGCTTCAAGGGTGAGTGCATGCGGTCCCTTTTTAATATTTTAATTATTTCGGGGGGAATACATGTGCCTATATACTTTGTTTATACAAAGATATTATCTTTTATGCGAAAATAAAATAAATATGGTTTATAAAATTGTTATTAGTCAGTATAACATATTGTTACAAATAAACTAGTTTAAACTTTTCATATACATATTATAGCTATTTTATCATGAATTAACTAGTCCACACAACAAATGCTATATGATACAAAAATATATGATTTTTATGTACAATGTATATCATAAAAAGTACGATTGTGCATGTATGTTAATATGTTTAAATACATGACGTTTATACATGTACATATGTTCATTACTTAAAAACAAACATCTTTTTAAAACTGAGTACATTACAGTTTTACATATATACCAAGCATACTCAGCTTTTATAAACTTTATACAATGAAATTCATTATACCTAGTGACTAAACCACAATTAAGTTACGACCGAGAGCTATTCACATAATTTTTAGTTAAGGGACTTTTAGTGAGACTATATTCATTATTTGAGTCTAAACACTTAGTATATCCACACTACTATAACCATTCATCTTCGGAGCAAGATACATATGTATAGATCTATACGGGTTTGACATCCCCATTTGCAGTTGCTAGCTACAACCTTGACTGATCGATCTAAGCGGGTGATAAGTGTCTACAATTGTTACTACAACGTCCAATGAAGCATTGTAGGGGGTACATTCAGTCACATAGATTGGTTATGGGACTCACTATAAACATTAACTGAAAATTCTCTTTCTCTCACTACAAACCATGGGCTTGGTTGCTTTAAAACTATTTTAAAGTATGAAATTACTTCTTTAATAGTACAGTTTGGTTTTCAAGGATATTGAAAGACTCATTACAAACATGGTTTTAAGTATGGATTTACTTATACAAAAGATACGTTTTGGCTTTCAAATATTCATTACAAACACAGTTTTAAGTAAGTATGTACTTATACAAAAATACATTTTGGCTTTTAAAGACTCATTGCAATCAGAGCTTTAACTACTGTTATACATACAAAGATAATACTTTTTAGACTTTTTAAAAGTATTACTGTTGTTTGTAGAAAACCTATAACTCTCACCAACCTTATGTTGACCCTCAAAATTACATGTATTCTCAAGAAATCACTAAACTGACATTTAAGACAGATTAGATTACATGTGACCTTGGTTACTTATTGTATTATATCTATTAAGGCAATTCATATACTATTATTATCTATAAAAACATTATATTCAGATATCAAGATGGAACATGAATGCTATTTTGTTTATTGTTGTACTTGTGCTATATATTCAGTTTACCTGTGATCCATGAACTTATTTGTATAGCTCGATGTGCTCTGCCGCCTCGATCGGGGGTGTGACAGTCTTGATGGTCCATTTTGAAAGGACCATGTAAGGGTGAAATGCTAAATTTTATTGGAAGGGATGCAAATAATCATATGTATAGCATTTCTTGGGCTATTGTTGACATTGAGAAGAAAACTATCTGGAAGTGGTTCTTGGAGTTACTACATAATGATCTTGGATTCGAATGAGGCAGGGGTATATGTGTCATTTCTGATCAACACAAGGTAATAATTTCATTTATCTACATTTATACTCGTGTACAATGTTGTAAAACTCGCCGAGTTGGCTGATTACTCCTCTGAGTACTTGCTACACGGCCCCTTACCGAAGTGAGTTACAAAATCTCGAATACTCCCCGATCGGCCCCTTACTGAACTGAGTAATGTTGTAAAACCTGATCAAATCGGTGATGAATTAGTATAGTATACTCAATGATTTATTATTTAACACGCACACACATGTGATTATTACTATATATATATATATATATATATATATATATATATATATATATATATATATATTAAATTTTCAGTAATAATTCAGGAAGTGAGACCATTATGTGTTTTTCAGATTTCGTATATTCACATGTATCTAATTTTGTTATATATTTCAATCAACATAAAATTTTAACTTATGATTCTGACATATATAAGTTCCTTAAAAATATTTCTGCATGAATTACCGAATCCGAATGCTCCCCAAGTACTCCTGAGTACTCGTTACTCGGTAGTCGGCCGAACAGCAAGTAATGAGTTCTACAACCTTGCTTGTATATATGTTTATTTATATTAATGATATGTGTTCATGTATTTCATAGGCTCTTCTTGAAGCTACAAGGGGCATTCTATAACATGTAGAGCATATACAATATGCTAGGCGTATCTATGCCAATTCAGAAAAGTCTATAGTAGACTAGAATTCAAGAGCATATTTTGGGCAGCTGCCAAGTCTACTATGGAAGGGGATTTCATCATGAATATAGAGAAGATCAAGGATGCCAATCCTTCTACTTATGATCATTTAATGGCAAGGGAACTTAAATCTTGGTGTAGGGCATACATTCAAGTTGGATTGGCATGTGAGGCTATTGAAAATGGAATGGATGAATGCTTTAATGCTATAATAATAGTTTCTAGGAAAAAACCTATGTTGACTATGCTTTAAGAGATAAGAATTTATATGATGTACATGTTCTACAACCTTTAGGAGAGTGCAGAAAAATAGGAGACTGAAGTGTGCCCTTCAATAATTAAGAATATGGATGTGTTGGTGAAGACCTCAAGTATGCTATCAATATAAGTTGCTTTTTCATTACCATTAGACCAATGGTTATTGCATTTATGTTTAAAGTAGTTTGTATGTAGATCCTAGTGGTGTGACTGCCTTTGAAGTGAAGAATGGCTTTCAATCATATGGAGTTGGCTTAGAGGAGCATTTTTGTAGTTGAAGACTTTGGGAGTTATCAGGGATACCATGTGTATTAGTGAAGATTTCCAAGATGAAGATGGTGGACCTGATGTTTATGATATGGATCAATATACTAAAGACAATTAATGATTTGATATCTTCAAACTACACTTGAAAAAATCATCAATTGTGTTGGTTTAACTAAATCTCAACTTCAGAAACGCCTAGCCTTCAAACCAGTCTCAATGGATTTACAACCAATCCAAAAGGTATGTTTTAACTTTATTATATATATATATATATATATATATATATATATATATATATATATTAACAACTAAATATTGAAAAAGATATATAATTTTTGTGGTAGGATCAACATATAGAGAGTCAAACAGTTTGTGAAAGTTAGTTGTTTAATCATGGTGAGGAAGATGAGGAAGTTGAGGAAGGTGAGGAAGGTGAGAAAAAGGGCGTGGAAGACACACAAGTGACGAGAATGAGACAAGTGCTAAAAAAGATAAAACCTTCACATAAGCATCTTGGCATTAAGCTTCTCCTCATTGATTGATTCCCTTGCCTGCTTTCCACAGAAGATGAAGACGCCATTTTTTCTTTCACTCGAGGTTCTAGGGCTTGAAGGAGCTTTGCATGTGCTATACAACATATTCGGCCACCTAAGCAACTCATTTAACGACTTGACATCAACCTCAGCAAAGTGACAGACTAAAATAGGTATACTGGTTAAAATGGGTCTTTTTCGAATAAATTAGCCGATAGTTTTTCTTTTTCATAAAGAAATATTATTTTGGGATTAGACCGCAAATTAACTCAAAACTTAGAGACTTTTTTGGATATTTCCAAAATGAATATTACTAAAGATGGATGTTTTTATTATTGTAATAACAGACGGTATAAGATGCTCTTCTTTTGTATCCCTATACCACTTTGAATACAAGTATCTTTCAACTCAACACCAAACACGATTTTATCTTTGCATTTAAATTCCCACAATTCATAACTTATTCTTACACATTAACTGCGAGTGTTCTTATTTCATCTCTAACAGGAAAAAAAAAAGTTTATTTAAAACAAAAGCCATGTCTCATAGTCAGAAAAGTTTATCACTTAATTTGACTCTTTGTCCTACAACTTCATCAAATACCGAATGGAAATGAGTCTTGCTTGGGGACAACCCCAAACATTTCCGTCTGTGACCAGAGCTTCGGTGGAATTGGCATCAATAACCTCTCTTGTAGCTGAGAATCGTCATTATTAAACACATTTTGGTATGATAGAAATTGATGTGGCTGAGGTTGTTGTTGTTGATATGTTCCATGTAGATTTGATTGGTGAAACTGGCTTGGTTGGTTTTGTGCCCAAGAATTTTCAATCCAAACTTTTGGTTGTTGATTTGATGTTTGCATGTAGGAAGCCAATGCAAGCTCCAACTCCGGTTCTCGACATAAACCATCATTTAAAACTAGATTCTTGGTTTCCGGTGGTTGGAGCCACCATTTTTGTAGTGGCGCCACTGGTGTTGATGGCGGTGGAACCCATGGAATATCATTCATCGCAAACGACGAGCTAAAAATCTTCTTGGAGGGTTGCACGTACGTTGAAGGATGAACACATGAATTAATGTTTTTGTTTCTTGGAGCCCCTTCAACATCTTCAATCCCATTAACATTGTTAATATTTTTATTCAAGTTCCCATTATAATTCGAAAGCAAGGAACCAATTTGATTGATGGTCATCCAGCTACCGACTTGGCCATAGCCAAGATTCTTGCAAACAAGATCTTGATTTTCCGATGAACCATCTCCTCCGTTTTGTTGATAATTCTTGCAAATTTGAACCCCAGTTTTTTGCTTACCCAATAAGAACTCTAAGTTATCACCAACATCTCGTTTGTTGAAATTACTTTTGCCATCATCAACCATGATTCGTTTCCCTTTGTAATCTCCAAAACCCATCAATGGCTGACTAGCTTGATTTGGTGTGGCGATTCTGACTGAACTATTTGTTGAATTCAGGTCTAGAAAACGTGAGTGTGGCTGATTAACGTCTAAAGATGGCAACAATGGCTGGAGCTGATGTCGAGTCTGGTAGTTGACACCTTGTCCTAAAAGCTTTCGAAGAGCTATTTTTCGTGCGGTGGGACCCAGATCCTTGCAGAACTTCATGAGGCTTTCCCTGTAAGTAATACCTCCGTTTCCCTGTCACATTGTAGCAGAAACAGGTCGTATTTCCTTGAACTCGAAATGATGATTAGTAAATAATCGTTGTATAAAAGGGAAACTATAATGAAGATTAGGTACTTGTGTAATCTGTTTGCTAGATTTCTTTATTAGCTTCTTTTGTTAATTATATAAATTGATGTGTCATATAAACTTTGCGTTCTTTGTTTTTGAAAGGAATGAAATGATTAAAAATTTAAAATAATGATAATGAAATAAACATAGACTAATGACGATAATTTCTAGCGAATCAATGAAAAACTTAATATTACACATAAATATATTGTTTAGTTATAAGTTTACTATATAAAATATTTAAAGTGTAAATTACAAAAATGGTTGATGTGGTACTGTGAAATCGCACTCCAAGTATAATAACCATGTCATATTTCTGAATGTTGGATTTAGAGTACGATTTTCATATTACCATGGATATTTTTATAATCTATTATTATTTAAATATAAAAAGTGAATCTAATAAAAACTCATTGACGTGTAATAACACTATTACCAAGGGTATGTTTATTCTTCTTCTTGAGAATATATATATATATATATATATATATATATATATATATATATATATATATATATATACACAAAAACATAGTTTTTTCGTTTTTTTTTTATTTTTAAAAAGCTATTTTTATGGAAAAATGATTTTAAATATACGAAAATTTATGATTTTTTATTCTCTATAAATAAATATATATATATTGATATAGTTTTAAGATAATATATATATATATATATATATATATATATATATATATATATATATATATATATTTAGCTATCGTTATTCATAAATTAATAAAAATGAATCTGGTTTTTACTATAGTACATTCGTTATTCACTTATAAATAAAAACTATGATTAATTTTTTTTACAATTTAAGTGTAATTCATATATGAATATAACATATATTAAACATAGTATATTCATATTTAAATATTAGGTGATACATTCTCTTGTGAATATTACATAGTATATTCACTTGTGAATGTTAGATGATATATTCACTTATGAATATTAGATGATATTTTCATATGCGAATATTATATACTACTATATGGTATATCACATGAGAATAGTACATAGTATATTCACTTGTGAATATTAGATCATATATTCACTTATGAATAATAATTGGTATATTCATATGTGAATATTGCACAGTATATTCATATATGAATATTACAATATATTTTCAGAAATATATATAATTTTTATATGTTATTCACATATGAATAACATACAGACTTGCATATTTGTTTTGTGTTTTAATAATCACATATTGATTCAGGTGAAAAAACATATTTATATGTGAATATAACGTGGTAAGTTAGTTTATGTATTTCATCAAACAGTTGGAATGCATATAAGTTAACTTTTTTTAAAATGTGATAAATATGATACTTTGATTATTTAAATCTTACAAAATAGTAGATTAGTAGATAAATATATGAATATTTCAAACAAAAAATGATTTGATCTTTTTCTAAACTTAATTTCGATTTTTATTTGATGAACGATGTTGAATGAATGATACGAATTGAATTTTTTGTTGATTATCGATGATATTGTTCTAATGATGCTGAGAGTATAATTAATCGTAGATGTTGAAGATATGTTCGTATTCAAGCAGAATTGAAGGTTGGGTTGAAAGAGCAAAAAACGAATGAATTTCACCTGTTATCTAATTCTCTACACTTACATATTTGTGATTGAAGGCTATTATATCATATTTACAAGTTTGTCACCGTATCATTTATGTTTAGAGACTAATTAAATGAGTGACTGAGAATGATTCCTCCATTCTCAATCTTTTTTATTTTCTCAATTGAACTCACATCTCTCTCTCTCTCTCTCTCTCTCTATATATATATATATATATATATATATATATATATATATATATATATATATATATATATATATATATATAATATATATTAACATCATTAACTAACGTAATGAAGTCAAAGAAAGAAAATGTGTAAAATTTTAATGAATAAAAATAGATTATATTATATTTTTTTAATTATTATTTTCTTTTATAGAGGTCAAAGGAATAAAAAATCAACTATTTTTGAAAACATGTGGGACCAATTAACTAGTAAAAAGCTCACAATTAAATATTTTATGTACTTTCACCATGTTTAATGAGTTTGTGTAACTTACCGGTTGGAGTTGTTTTGGACTACTTGGCTCACTTTTGAGAAGAGAATCATTGTAAGATTCACGTCTAACATTAACATCTGAATTATGATATAAAAGGGTAAGTCAATCATTACATATATTAAATAAATCATATGAAAAAAAAAAAAAAAACTATTACAAGTAAATATCTCATAGATATCGCACCATAAAGATCTTCATATTTCATAATTTTATTGCTTGTGAACGTCGATTTTGCCGATTGAGCTTTAGGCGGTCTCCCTCGTCCTCTTTTGGGCATATCTTTGCGTTTCGAAGGATTTGCTTCAACAAATTTGGTCATTTTCTTTGATAAATCATGCACTTGAACCTGAAGTTGATAAATGTGTTTGGTTGATATAAGTAAAAAACCAAACATAAAACGGATATATATGTTTGATTCTAAGTGAGAAAAAATAAAGAAGTCAACTTTTTATTAATTTTTGGATATTAATTTGTCAACTAAATTTTTGTACATATATATTTTATTTGACGTAAATGATTTCTTGTCAACTTCTGCTAAATGCATTTG